GATGTCTGGACGGCCGCTCGTGCTGGACCACCCTCATCAGGTCGCCGCACGCACGCGCGCTCGCCGCAAGCTCCTCCCGTTGGGCGGCCTCGAATCGTGTCCGCTCACCTGCGAGCGGCGACGTTTGTTTCAGTGCCTTCCGGGTCCTGCTGGAGAACGACGAGGACCGACTGCTGGTGGTGTTCAACCGCGGGCTGGTCCTCATGACGGAGGTAAGGGACGGAAAGTTGGGGGCGTTTTCGGGGGAGGGCGTTGCCACTCACGCAAGCCAAGCCGTCTTTGCCGCGCAGTCGTTCGGCACGCTGCACATGATGTACCACGAGGCCACCGCCTGCCACGTCACCGGCGACCTGGTGGAGCTGCTCTCCATCTTCCTGTCGGTGCTCAAGGCCACCAGGCCCTACCTGCAGCGCAAAGGTAAAGCCCCGCCTCCTCCCACTCCCGCTCGCCCCGCCCCCGAACCACGCTGATGTTTTTTTGTTGTTGTTGTTGTTGTTGTTTGCCGGCGCAGACGTGAAGCAGGCTCTGATCCAGTGGCAGGAGAGGATCGACTTTGCCCACAAGCTCCTCACGCTGCTCAACTCGTACAGCCCGCCCGAGCTTCGCAACGCGTGCCTGGGTAAGCCCCTCCCCGTCCACCCTCGCCCTTGGCTTTTTGATCGACGTATTTGTTCTGTCGTTCGCCTCGTTCGCCGCAGACGCGCTGAAGGAGCTGCTGCTGCTCAGCCCGCACGACTTCCTGCACACGCTGGTGCCCTTCCTGCAGCACAACCACTTCACGTACCACCACGGCAACATTCCCAGTGAGTTGCGCCGCTCCGCTGCCGCCGCCGCCGCCGCTGCCCCGGCGACGGCGCCGCTTCCACGTCCTTGTGCCCGCAGTGTCGATGGGGCCGTACCTGCCCTGCCGAGAGAACCTGAAGCTGCTGGGTGGGGCCAAGAGCAACGTCCGCCCCCCGAGGCCCGAACTCAACATGTGCCTGCTGCCTTCCATGGTGGAGAGCGCAAAGGTCAGGCGGGAGGAGGCGGATCCGCCTCTTTCTCCTTTTATTTTGAAAAGGCCGCTCGCTCAATGGTCTTGTTTTTTTTTTTTTCTTTTGTGTTGCTTTTTCTCACTTTCTTTTGGCTTTGTGTCGTTTTACTTTTTTGCGCGCGTGCTCTTGTGCGTCCATGCGTGTCGTGCCATTGCGTTTCTGCGCGTGTGCTTGCGTCGGGGCCGGCAGGGCAAAGACGAGGGATACGACCGCATGCTGCTGGACTACTTCCTGTCGTACCAGCAGTTCATTCACCTGGTGTGTCGCGTGGCCATCAACTGCGAGAAGTTCAGCGACACGCTGGTCAAGCTGAGTTGCGTGTCTTCCGATCGCCGCACCCGCACCCGCACCCGCCCGGCTCACTTTTTTTTGCTTTGTCCCGCCAGGTGTGCTGATGGCGTACGAAGGACTCCCCCTGCACCTCGCCCTCTTCCCCAAACTGTGGACCGAACTGTGCCAATCGCAGGTTCGAGCCGCCGCAAAAAGCTGTCATCGGGCGCCCCGCCCCCAAGCCCCACCCAAAAAAAAAACGCCGGTGCGTGTGTTTTTCAGTCCCTGCTGTCCAAGACCTGCGTGAAGCTGCTGTGCGACGACCCGACCTTCAGCGAGTACATCAAGTGCATCCTGATGGACGAGCGCGGCTTCCTCAACAACAACGCCGCCTACGCCTTCCTCACGTGCTTCCTGCATAAGGTAGGCATGCGTTCGCTCCCCCCGCCCTCTCTCTTGCGTTTTCACGACTCGGATCGCTTTCTGTCAACCGTAATGACCTTGGTTCAAAGGCGCGACTGGCGTGTTGGCGCGCGCGTGTGTCCAGGTGCAGGTGTTGTCGGGCGCCAGCTGCTGCAGCTTGGCGGGCGCCTTGGCGGCCAGCGTGCTGAGTCAGCACGGCGCCCTGCGGCCCGAGCTCGCGTCCGATTGGCCGCAGCTCAGCAGCATCGCCGCCCTGCTCAACGCGGTACGTCGCGCGGTGCCGCGCACCCGTCCGCCCCCCCCCCAACCCGCCGTGTCGCCGGCGGACGTGCCTTTGCGTTGTCGTTCCAGGACCTCCGGGCCTTGACGCTGTTGCTGTCGGTGCAGTCGCCCCCGACCCTCGATCCCGCCCTGGGCCCCGCCCTCCAAGAGCTGATGGCCCGATGTCGCCTCTGCGCGCAGCGCCGCGACGCCCTGGCGGCGGACGCGCAGCGCCACCGCCGAGACGACGGTAGGCGATCTGTCGAGTCGAACCACGGCGCCGTCGTCCGTCGGTCGCCGGCGTCCTCTCTCTCGTGCCCCAGACGGCATGAGAAATGCCCCCCCACCCGTATTGCACTGCCCCCGAGTGGCCAAGGCCAGCAATGCATTGCGCGCCGCAAAAAAAAAAAAAAAAAAAAAAAAAAAAAAAACGTCTCCTTTTCTCCCGTTTATTCAAATTCTTCTTTTGCCTTTGCATCACGTTACAAGTTTTATCGCTACTTGTTGCTAATTGAAAGAAATTGAAACCGCAGGTTTCCAAGAAAAAAAAAAGGTTGCGGGTCATTCATTATGTGTATAATTGGACTACCCCCCAACACACACACACACACACACACACACACACACACACACACACACACACACACACACGTCCCTCATCGACCCGGGCACCGAGCAGGACCCCCCGTCCCCGCCCGCGGCCGCGTCCCCCTCGCCCGAAGCGAACCAGATGGCGGAGCGGGAGGAGCCGGACCGGAGGGCGGGCGAGGCCCGGGCCCCGCCCCTCCCGGAGGATGCCGCCCTCCCGGCGGAAGAGGGGCCGGAGGACGTGCTGGACGTGTTGCGCAGGACGCTGGAAGCCGCCGTCGCCATGGTTACCAAACTGACTGTGAGAGCCCCGCCCTCGTCGTGACATCAATGGTCGCTGTGAGTCACCCCATCTCCCCCCCAACCTCCGCTTTGTTGCCTTGGAGTCGCACTTTTTAGTTTTTTTTTTTTTTTCTTCTTCTTCTTTTTCGAAGGGCAAAGTGTTGTTTTATACAAAAAGTGAGGATTTTTATTTGCCGTAATTTAATTTTATTGCGTTTTTACTTCCTCGGTCCTCTTCCTCTCTGTGCCACTTTTTGTACTTTTGTCAACGACGAGGGGACGGCGGCGAGATGAGTAAAAAAAAAAAAAAAAAATGTTGCCTTGACTCGGGACGAGAACTCCGCAATTTTATTTGTACATGAGAAAGAACTGCGAGAAAAGTCACAAACGTGTGACGCCTGGAGGTGTAAATGAAAACTATATCTATACATATATAGATAAAAATATCTTTATATATACGTATATATACGTACATAGACAGATAAATATCTTGATATGTACGTATATATAAATATCAATAAATACGAATCTCTCTATCTAGATGAAAAGTGGTGCTTTATTATTGGACTGTGGTGCAAATAAAGCATCCCCCCCCCCG